CCAAAATTCTGGACATGGAATGCAGAAAACCACTTGGTCATGTCGTGGTTAATCAATTCCATGACCAACGACATCGGCGAAAATTTTCTTCTCTACTGCACGACCAATAGTATTCGGGATGCTGCTCGATGCTCGAGAGACATACTCTCACTTCTCTCACTCAGATAACACATCCAAGCTCTTCGAGATCGAGTCAATCATCCACGATCTTCGCTAAGGTGATCAATCTGTGACTCATTATTTTAATGCCCTCTTACGTTACTGGCAGCAGGTTGACGTGTATGAAGTCCATGCCTGGTCATGCACTCCGGACTCCAACTTATACCGTCAGATCTTCAAGCAAAAAAGGATATTCAAATTCTTTATCGGCCTCAACAACTCTCTCGATCATGTCCGCTCTCGTGTATTAAACTTCAAACCACTACCGAGCATTCGCGAGGCCTTCTTCGAGGTTCTTCGAGGTTCGCCACGAAGAAAGCCTCCAGAAAATCATGCTTGGACCTATCTCCACCTCGCCCAATCTCTCCGTTGACGCCTTCGCCCTTGCAGCTCGGGTTCCTCTGTCTCGACACAACGACAACCCATCACGCAAAGGCCGTCCCTGGTGCGACCATTACGCAAACCAGACCATAATAAAGACACGTGTTGGGTGCTTCATGAAAAGCCAGCCGATTGGAAGCCTCGGTCTGTTCGCGCTCCCCGTGCCAACAACGCCCGTGCCGATGACCTTCCTGCATCAACGCCCAGTCCATTCAGCAAAGAGCAACTAGATTTGCTGCACAAACTGATCAGCAAACCATCTGATTTGGCTGTTCCCGACCCAATCACCAGCCTGCTCGCGCATCAAGGTACGTTCTACCATGCCTTCACAGTCAATTAAGGATCCCTCGGTCAGTGGATCATCAATTCCGACGCTTCTCATCACATGACTGGCGATGCCTCCCTTCTCCATGACTATAATATGTCGTGCGAAGACAACGCCACCATCCGCGTTGCCGATGGCTCTGTCTCCAAAGTCACTGGTTTTGGCTCTGTGCGCATTACCCAAAACATTCTACTTCGATATGTGTTTCATGTTCCTACTCTAAATTGCAATTTATTATCCATCGGAAAGTTGACTAGTGATATGAGGTGTATTGCTAAATTTTTCCCTGCCATGTGTGAATTTCAGGATGCGGACTCGGGGATGACGATTGAAAATGTTGAGATGTGCTCGGGTCTCTACGTCATCAACGGTACTTCACCACCACGACCTCGCTGCGGACATTTGTCTAACCATCATTCTGTCTTCAATTCTAGTGTCAATAAAGATTCCGAGATCATGATATGACATTTTCGCCTCGTCCATCCAAATTTTATGTATCTTGCAAAACTATTTTCAAATTTATTTATCAATAAAGATGTTTGTTCTTTTCAATGTGAATTTTGTCAACTTACCAAACACACTCGCAAGTCATTTCCACGTGTTGGTTACACCTCTTCCCGGCCCTTTGCACTCATTCACAGCGATATCTGGGGCCCATCCCGTGTTACAACCCTTACCGAGACTTGGTGGTTTGTCTTCTTTATTGATGATCACACTCGACTAATGTGTTTATTTCTTATGAAAGATAAATTTTTGCAGTCGGTCACATATTTGAACAATTTTACTCAATGATCCAAACACAATTCTAAACCTCCATTCAGACACTCAAGACTGATAATGCAAAGGAGTACTTTGCTTCCGTCCTCAACTCTTATCTCTCATCTAAAGGCGTCCTCCATCTCAGTTCTTGCGTCGACACTCAACAGAATTAGATCGCCGAACGCAAGAACCGCCACCTTCTCGAGGTGGCCCCCTGCCTCATGTTTTCCTCTAACGTGCCTAAGGTTTTTTGGGGTGACGCTGTATCCACTGCAGCCTATCTCATTAACAGGGTGCCTTCTCGGGTCCTTAAATTTCAAAGTTCAGTCAAATTCCTTCTCAAATCATTTCCCCACACCAAGGCAATTTTCCAAAATCTACCTACCAAAGTTTTTGGTTGCTCCTTTGTTCACATTCATTCACATAATCGCAGTAAACTTGACCCCAAATTTACTAACTATATTTTCCTCGGCTACTCGCCTCTTCAAAAAGGGTATAAGTGCTACTCTCCTCTCACAAGAAAAACCTACAACACTATAGATGTCACCTTCTTTGAAAATCAGCCTTACTACAATTCTAATATTCAGGGAGAGGCTTTAAGGGAATATCAGTATTGGGGGGACAACGAGTTCATACCACCACACAACAAATCCTTGTCCCTTGAACCGAACTTATTATCTTCTGACTCGTTCTGACTCGGATTATCTTCTGACTCGGATTCAGCAAGTTCATCCAACTCACGTGAAAATGTACCTAACAATCAGTTTCCGTCTAGTCCTCAAGTGTCCAACTCACACATAGATCACCCAACACATCTAGCACCAATCTAAGGGTCAGAACCGGAACCAACTCCTAAAGAAATCTACTCAGGTACGAACACACTTGAGCATGAATCTACTATACTTATGATTGATGACTCCGACATTCCAATTGCTTTAAGGAAAGGTGTTAGGTCCATCCATCATCCACTCAGGTACAAACACACGATGCATCCGATCTTCAACTTTGTGTCCTATGAAAGACTATCTTCAGCTTACCGAGCCTATGTCACTGCATTCGACAATACACAAGTCCCAAACACGATTGATGGAGCTCTCAAACACCTGGGGTGGAAAACGACCATCAATGAGGAGGTAAGAGCTCTACAAAAGAATGGTACATGGACTGTTTCAGACTTGTCGAAGGGAAAGAAAGCAATCGGGTGCAAATGGATCTTCAAAGTTAAATACAAGGCAGATGGTACAATTGAGAGATTAAAAGCACATCTCGTAGCAAAATGTTTTTCACAGACCTATGGTATTGATTATCAAGAGATATTTGCCTCCGTGACCAAACTTAACACAACCAGAATCCTTCTCTCACTTGTGGTAAATGAAGACTGACAGCTACATCAACTCGACGTGAAAAATGCTTTCCTAAATGACGATTTGGAAGAAGAAGTTTATATGGAAGCACCTCCCGGACTTGAAGCAACTTTTCCAAGCAAAAAAGTCAACAAACTCCAAAAATCATTGTACGACCTCAAATAATCTTCCCGAGCATGGTTCGATAGATTTACAAAATCAGTGACAAGACTCAGGTATACTGAGTATCAGACAGATCATATTCTATTCGTGAAAACCTCTCCCGAAAAGAAGCAAAAGAAGATTGCAATTCTAATCGTATACGTCGACGATATCATCCTCACTGAAAATCACGAAGAAGAACTCACAAATCTGACAAAGCTTCTCACTTGGGAATTCGAAATCAAAGACCTCGAAAACCCAAAGTTCTTTCTCGGCATAGAACTAGCTCGATCAAAACGAGGAATATTTGTCACAACAAAAATATAGATTAGACCTGTTGAAGGAAACAAATATGCTCGGTTGCAAACTCGTCGATACTCCATTGGATCTCTACAAGAAGATCGACATTGAGAAAAATAGCGCACCTGTGGATAGGGGGAAATATCAGCGACTCGTGGGGTGACTCGTCTATTTCTCACACACACGACCCGACATTGGTTTTTCTATTAGTGTTATTAGCCAATTCATGAACAGCCCTACAGAAAAAAACATGAATGCAATCTATAGAATCTTGAGATACCTCAAGATGACTCCAGACAAAGGGCTACTGTTTCAAAGGAATAAGGATCGAAGTATAGAAGTGTATGCAAACGCATACTGGGCAGGGGATGTCTCAGACCGACAATCGACTTCCGGCTTTTGCACTTATGTCTGGGGAAACCTAGTCACTTGGAGAAACATAAAACAATCTGTAGTATCAAGAAGCAGCGCTGAAGCTGAATTTAGAGCTCTTGCACTCGGGATCTGCGAAGGAATGTGAATTCGAAGAATACTCAGCGAACTCAGAATGCTAATGGAAAAAACAGTCAAACTACAATGCGACAACTATGCAACCACAAAGAATCTAGTACACCATGACAGAACGAAACACATCGAGATCGATCGATACTTCATCTCAGAAAACATTGAGAGAGGACTCGTTAAACTTGCATACATTCCTTTCTGACATCAAACAACAGATATCCTCACTAAGCCTTTCTCAAGAATCAACTTTGAAGAATTATGTAACAAGTTAGACATGTATAATATGTACAACCCAATTTGAGGGGGAGTGTTGAAAGATCTCGAAAATACTAATTATTATATTCCATATTTGATATAACTCTATATTTATATGAGGGATATTGATAATCTTTATTTATTTCTCTCCTTAAATTAGAGGGATTAGCTGCCTCTTATATTTTGTTATTATTCTTTTCCTTTTCTACTGTATTATGTTTTTATTATTTTCCTTACCAGTAAGTCTTGTAATTGTTATTTATACTCATTTTTCATCAATAAAATTAAGTCATCTCATATCTTTTAATTTGGGAAGTCTTATCTTTATAGTAGTACTCTTCTCATTAAATCTTTTTTTTAACGGGTAGAGAAACTCTAAAATTTGTCCTTTTCCAGAGAATTTGGAATATCTCTAGTAATGCTTCTAATGAACATGCATAATATAAAATAGGACAATTACATGCAGACCATTCAAAACTTGCTATCTACAAATCATCCACTCTCTTTCATCCATTTTTCATTTTTATCAAATTCTCAATAGTTAATCATGGAACTTGTAAATACATTGGTTCGGTAGTTCAAAAAATCACCTAGGTGGTTAATTTATAAATATGAATGTTTATAAATATAAAAAGCCGATTTTTCACATTTCAACACCTCATGCTCTCCTAATATGATTTTCTGATCTTCTTTATAAAGAAAAGTTCCTGCTTGTTCTTTAGTTGCATAAATAGATATCTTTACTCCAAAATGCTTAAGATTATAATGCCAAATTAATTGGTATTGTTCTTGATAGTTTGTTTTGAACGCAGGCCACCTCCACCCTTACCAGAGTTGCATATTACTGAAGAGGCGACAAATCTTGCAGCAGATTTTTTTCGAACCAAGATAAACAGTATTCTTTCTGCTTCCCGAGATATCGCACTTGGCAGAGATCCAAACCTTTTTTGTAAGGTTGTGGCATGCCTATGGCTAATTTCTGTTGTCAGCAGTTGGACTGATTTTCTTACCTTATCGTACAGCGGCAAGTCACCAATTCCTTCCCTTTACTGTATTTCTATTCCCAATTAAGAACATGTTTATTACTATTAGCTTGGAATCTTTCTTTGAGGGGCATTTACATACATACTTCGCAATTGTTCTTCATTTACACATTAATTAACACCTAAACATTCATTTTTACATGCGTACCACTCAAATATTTAGCATCACATCAAAAATATCATCATCACTAGCTTTTTAAAAGTGAAATGCACCTTCTCATGCATAGGTATATGACACCAAGACGTTATTAAGTGTAAATTTTAAAATTTGTGTGTTTGACATGTAAATATATAAGAATTGTGCGGTATGCAAATTTCGCTTTATTCATGTGTTATGGAAGTAAATAAAATAATCTGAACCAATCTCTATTAATTATGCTTTAAAATACCTTCTACGACGCAATCACATCAAATTTAAAAGAAAAATTTACATGTATACCAGAGCCCTTATGTTTTCTCCAACACCTAAAGTTTGGTATTTTCATTTATGACATCTTGGTGTCGTAAACCTATGCATGAAAATATTTATTTCACTTTTAAAAAACTAATGATGGTGGTACTTTTTATGTGATGTTAATGATTTGTGTGGTATGCTTGTAAATATAAATGTTTAGATGTTGGGTTTGTAAATACATAACTGTGGTATGTGTGTAAATTCCCCAATTTAAAAATACATATGAGATTCAAAATTCAGCTGTCTCGATAAAATTCTGCTTTAATGTTGAAAATTCAATTTGATTTACAACATTAATATTTTTTTCTTTTATTGATTATTGTGTAGCTATACAAATCTTTGCATAATTAGCTATGTAATATAAGAGGAAATAGCTGTACGCAATTAGGTAATTTCCTTGTTTAGGATATGGTATTCCTTATAAGTAGATGTACCTTCTAAAACATCAAAACATGAAGAAAAGATTTCCCTCTCTTTGTTTATGTTTTCATTTAATATTACAATCAAAATTCCAATCGCATGTATTTTAAACTTTTTAGCATGTTACGGTATGACCTTTTATGCGTTGATAATGCGATTTATTCAGATGGGTTGGTTCTTATTTTATTCTGAGAGTTTATTTCTAAAATTCCTTGGATCCTCCACCATGGTCTGGTTTCGCATTTAACATAAACTATCATGCTTTATTTTTTTTCAGGTCTGGCTGTAATTTTGACAATCCCTGTATTATATGAGAAGTACGAAGATATCATTGACAAATATCTGCTCCTGGCCTATACAAAGCTCAAGATTATATATGAGAAATTGGACGGGGACTGTTCAGGAAAGGTAAAGAAATGGATTCTGGAGAATGGGAAATTAAGCTGATGGCTGATGCCTGTTTCAATCTCTTCGTTATAATGATAACTTCTTTTTGTTTTCACATTATTTTGAAATTGTCAGATGATGGCGTATTTTGCATCAGGAGTGGAGAGTTTTCCTATTTTTAATTTTGAGATGGTTTGGTGTTGTAGGCTTTTTAAATAAATAATAAATCATCCTCTTTTTGATTTTGACATAAAAATTAGTTTTTTTTTTCCGGCATTTAAATACTATGAAACATTAATGCATCTCGATCAACATTATGATCCTGACAAAATTATATTAAAATTTTAATTATCTTTAGATTTGACTTATTTATTATTGAGACGTGAAAATTTATCCAATTAAGCATACATTTTGATGCAATTTTTAATTTAGAAATTTTTTGAAATAAGTTTGTGGTCATATGAATTCTGATTTCAGAGACTTTATATCCAAAATGGTGGTCTTGATAAGGCATCCAAAGGCACCAGAAGTGATTTAATTTGAGTCCAAATAAGTTTGATTAAGTGATTGAAGTGATTAAAAATTTTACGATATTAATAGAAGAGACGGATAATGGTGCAGCCAGCTGCAACAAGGATGAAGAAGAGCACCAAAAAGGTAACTGGAAAGAGAACTTTCTCTCTATCAAAGAAGGAAAAATTGCCACTGGGTAGAACAGTCATGATACGTAACAAAAAATGTATATTCACTAAGCATCTATTTAATAATACTAAAAGTGGAGTTAACTAAAAAAAATATTGGCAATTAGGTAAGAATAAGTTGAAGCCTGTTGCATCTGTTGATTTTCACATCAGAAGAACTCGTCCCGAGTTCAAAAACTTGGGTTTGGCCATGAGCAGGAGGATGAATATCAACCACATTAAATGTTGGGGAGATGTTGAGTTCCGGTGGCAGTTGAATAACATAGGCATTATCATTTATTTCAGCAGAGATAGGAAAATATCCAAATTTTTGTGGTTTCAATTTAGAATAAGTGCCGGCTGGAAAATGCTCTTTGCGTAGAGGAACCGTGTCCAAGTCGTTGACATTAAATTCTTTATGCCTACGGTGTTTATCAACTTGTAACTTGTACTTTATCATACTGGCAGTAAGTTTCTGGCAGATGTCTTAGAAGCATGGCAATGAAGTCGATTGCTAATTGACTAGTAGCTTTACTGTTCTGTTTTGGTATAACAAACCTAGTATAAACAATATGGTTGGGAGTGAAGTCGATTGCTAATCAACGATATGGTTGGGAGGCCTAGTATAATGAATATAAAACGGAGCCCGACTCGTGGAATGGTTCACCATAGAGAATTATTGGTGAATTCAACTAGATTTAAGATTTCATCCCATCTCTTTGGTCGCTCGTCAGCCAAACACCTAATCATATTTGTAAGTGTTCTATAGGTAACCTTCGCTTGGTCATCTGTTTGTGGGGATGATAAGCTGAACTCAGTTTAAGGTTGATTTGAAATTGCTTCAAGTGTTCTCTCTAAAAATGGCTTACGAATTTGACATCACGATCAAAGGGCAAGTTTTGAGGTATGCCGTGCAATCCAACAATGTCTTTGAAAAAAACGCTTGCCACAATAAGTGCGGCGAATGTTTTCTTAGAAGCAATAAAATGTGATATTTTTGAAAAACTATCCACAACTACCGTTATAGAATCCATCCCATGCTTTGTTTTCTGCAACCCAAAAAAAGTCAAGACTTAAATCTTTCCAAATCGAATCCGAAATTGATAATGGTTTGTATAGACCAGTGTTTTTGTGAAGATCCCTTGTAAGTTTGACATTTTTGACAATTTTCCACATATCTCGATACATCCCGCCGGAGTTTAGGGCAGAAGAAGTGAGCTTGCAATAATGACAAGGTGTTTTCTCTTTCAATGTGAGCTACTAGACCACCACCGTGGAGTTCTTAAATTGGCATCATTCTCAATGAGGTATTTGGTATACATAGCTGATTTCCTTTAAATAAATACCCTTTCTGGGGAGAATAATCAAGAATTGGCTGGCCCGATTCGCATTTACTCAACGGTTTAGCAAAATCAAAATCTTTGGCATATAAGTCTGATAGATTTTATACCAGTGATAGCGGTTTGCAGGGACACTAGGAGGCTGGCCCGTCTACACAAAGCATCAACAGTTCTGTTAATCATTCCAAATGTATGAGTTAAAACAAAACTAAATTTCTGTTAAAAATGATCCATCGCATGTGCATTTGATTCAATATTTTCTGAGTTTGCAGAAAATGTAGAGAGTGATGTTCACTAGAAAATATGTACCCTTGGTGAAAAGTTTGCATTATATTGTAGAGACTTGATTGCTTCAACCTTTTGTGGGTTATATGGACTCCTGAATTATCAATGATGAACCCCAGAAAATACACATTTGAACTCGCGAATTCACATTTGGACTTGTTAAGATATAATTTTTGTTCACGTAGAACTGATAGGATAGCAGTCAAGTACCTAAGGTGATCCCACAACGAAGGGCTATAAACTAAGATAATGTCAAAATAGAAAACACAAAATTGATCAAAAAAATGTTTGTGGACTTCACTCTGCATAACATACTTGGTGTGTTACATGACCTGAACGACATCACAGGCCTTTCATATAACCCTTCTTTAATTTTGAAGGTCGTTTCTATTCATCGCCTGTACAAATATGGATTTGATAGTACCCACTTCTTAAGTCTAGCTTGGAAAAGATGGATGCGTCTGCAAGTCGGTCTAGAAGATTCTCAAACCTTGGCATAAGAAAATGATTCTTAATGGTGATTTTGTTTATACCTTGATCGTCTACACACGTTTGCCAACTTCCATCCTTTTTAGGTACAAGTGAGGCTGGTACCACGTACGGGCTGAGGCTGGGGCGAGTGTACTCCTTAATTAAGAGTTCCTCAATGATTTCTTTAAGTCGACCTTGTTCTTTTGGACTCACTCGGTAGTATGAAAGGTTGGGTAAGGCTGCTCTTGGAATCAGATCAAATTGATGTTGAATTGATCGGATGGGAGGAAGTTCTTTTGGCAATTCAATAGACATAACAGCAAAATCTTGTTGTAAATTTTGCACTTTTTTTTTGGTAGATTAAGGTTATCTTTTGCTACAGTTCTGGTTGCATGATCTGTCATTATCACCCCTAGTAACAGCGAATTATGTTTGTATTTTGTAATGAACTGTGAACCATAAATGGAAGTAAAAGCTGATCTCTCTGCTTAAGGTGACCCTCCTGTACTGAGATGCAGAATAGCTATTTGGCAGCAACCAGATTTTGTTACCTTGCCATTCAAACATGTATGCATTACTCCTTCCATCATACCAAGCCTCGATGTTATATGGCCAAGGCCTAACTAATATGATATGACATACATCCTTATCTATGACATCACATACAACTTCGCATTTATATTTCCTTCCTATGGAGAATCAGACTTGACATGAATCAATCACCGTTGTTTCACAACTTTCTTTACCCAAACAATTTTATATGGATTTGGGTGTTTGGTGGTTTTTGATTGTAAGACTTTAACCATCATTTGTGACACTGTATTCTCCATACACCCACTATCGATAAGTAGATCACAAACTTTTTCCATAACAGTGCATTTACTGCGAAAAAAGTGATGTCGTTGAGATGTATTCATTTATTTAGGAGCTAACAGAATCTTTTCTAAGATATAATACTAGAATTCACCGTCATCTACTACGAAATCTTCACAGTCATCAATCAGCAGTCATGTATGGTTGCTATCATCTAACTCCAATTCTATTTCCATCAATTGTTGGCAGTTAGGGCAGTCATTGGAACGATGCCTCGGCTGAAAACAACGGAAGCATTTGGATGGCCCTGACTTGTTGTAACTATTATCTTCGGTTGTGTTTGGCTTGGTTAGTCCCTTTCATTCTGTGGCTGACTGAGTTGGAGACTGTTGAACTTGAATGGAGCGCATTTTTGCCCTAAAATTTGGACTTCTTCGCTGATCGGTGGGTTGAACCCCACCAGGTCACTTCTGAGTGTTAAATTTTGACGCTCGAGAGAGTTGCAGTTCATCCTTGTAAGCAAAGTTCACAGCCTGGATGGTGTTCAAACAATTTTCATCTTGAATTTTTTTTCTGAATAGGTTCTTTGAGACTGCAAATGCAACTCGCCGCTAATTGTTGATATGTTTCATTCAGATCATTACGAGCATTCAACCAATTGAACTCCTCAGTGTTGTCGGTGGAAAAAGTCTATTGATCCTGATTGCTCTTAGTCCAGTCCTCACCTTATCCTCGAACTTAGTGAAATCGATATGAAGGGCATCAAATCGTCGCCCGTGACAAGAGTGAGCTTAGCACAAATACTTCCAACTGCGATCTTTTTCGCGGTTGGTAATTTGGTTTCTATCTCCCATCAAGCTTTGATACCAACTGGTGCAACCACCTGAAATAAGGAAGAAGAAGAGGGCCAAGAAGATAACTGGAAATGAAATTTTCTTTCTATCAAAGCAGGAAAAGTTGTTACCAACAGAGAACCTTTTCTCCTTTTCTCTACTACCACGAGGTATAAGTCATAACACCTAATACAAAAATATATATTCACTAAACTGCTGTTTATTAATACTAAAAGCAGAGTTAACTAATATAATAATGGTAATTAGGTAAGGATAAGTTGAAGCCTGCTGCATAAGATAATCTTTAATTTTTATATTATTATAGTAAAATTAGAATTTATAAATCTAATAAACCTAAGATCGCATACTTTTAAAGTTATTATGATAATCTATCGTTTTGTCAACTGATTGATGTCTAATACATATAAGATTCAACACCTTCTAATCGACAAGTAATTCAATGGGTGATGGATTTACCAAAAAAGAATCATTGCGACATTTATTATGAATGAACACTACTAAATTACCATCCATTTATTCTCTCTTGAATGGAACATCTCACCTTTCTTGTGGTCCCATAAAGTTTGTTTGGGTATAACTTTTGGAACTGTGAGACATCACATTTTGATTTCTCTCAATGTATTTTCCAATGTGAGTGAAATGCCAACCCTGAATCAAATGCCTCCCACAAAAAATCTGAGCCGAGAAACTGAAATGAAGCCTATAAATAAGTATGAAAAAAAGCACAATAACATAAAATATACAACCCTAAATCAAATGTCAAAATTCTATGTAGGAGCTCTTTGTGCTTTTTTGTGCATGTATATATATATATCTTTATGTGTGTGTGTGTGCGCGCGCACGTTCCATGTCCCAATACATTGGTGCAGCCTTTGACATAAGTCCTCGGGTCGGGGCTTCGAATCCCGTGGCGCGGGCTATTCAGATCAATTAAAGCACACCTGAGTTTTAACCCAAATAGAGGAAGTAATATTGATGCCCACTGAACCAAATATAGATTTCTTTTGAATATATATATATATATATATAATATTTTATATTTTTACCCTCCAAATAGTAATAAAGCGTTTAATTTATCACAATGAGGTCATGAATTTGAATAAAATATATTATATTTGGGCTCAACTTTCCTAAAACATATATATTTATATATAATCTACTAAACAAATATTAAACTTTTAAAATTTAACATAATTATTTTCTGATTTTGATATCTTAACTTACCATTAAAAAACCTTATCATATTCGTACATGATCACGTGAAGATATTATAGGATTGAAAATCATACAGAGGATCCAAATCTGGTCGCCGCGCCCGAAATCAAGTTCCGTTCTTCGTGGTGTCTTCCCGCGCCTAGGGTTTCGGTACCGCGAGCTAGTGTTTCATCCATGGCAGCTACTTCATTATTTACGTCGATATGTACGGGCGGATTTTCCAAATTTTGGCATCCAAAGAAGATCAGCCGCTTCCCTTCGGCTCCTTTCCCGATTGCTCCTGTGGTTTACTCTTCGAAGCCAAGGGATATATCAATCAGAAGCAGCTTTGACTGTGATGCAGCGATTGATTCCGTTAGCGAGGCGTTTGATAGGGATAAAGAGCAGTTCGTGGGTTGGTTCCGGCAGGCGTGGCCATACATAAGGGGACATCGGGGGAGTACTTTTGTGGTTGTAATTTCAGGGGAAATTGTGGACAGTCCTTTCTTGGATAGTATTCTCCAGGTGCTGATTTTGTTCATTCATGCTGCGCTGTTAGCTCATTTATTATTACTATTGTTCTTATTTTAACTTTTAATTGTCTTGGTTTGACTATTTATCTTTAGGATCTGCTTTTTAAATTTACCAGTAAAATGCAAGTGCCCAAGTGTGGGTGACTTGAGATTATTTTTACTTAAAAAAAACTTAAGTAAAAATAAAATATGAAAATATGACACTAAATAGGACGCAATGGAGAAAAAGGATTCATGTAGCCGACCCCACGTAGTGGGATTAAGGATTTGTTGTTGTTGTTGTTGTTGTTATTGTAACGAAAACTAATGTATAATAAATTTAAAAGCATAAGAAAAATATGTTATTTTGTGTAAAATTTCTTTGCTCACTTTTTTTTTTTCTGAAGTTAAATTGTAACAGGCCTAAATGATATATGCCTGCCATTTAATAGGGACTGAAAAATATTGGAAGTTCATATTTCAGTAAATTAGATGTCTTGATCATGTGAATATACTTTCAACATTCTTTCTACATGATTCAATGGTCTGAGAAATATTAAAGGGTTTTCAACAATATTTGATGTCCTTTAATGAACAATATAGGAAAGCTTTCCCAATAAATTTAAACATAAAATCATAGAATTCTTAGTGTTTCACTTGAATACTTTAAAAAAGCTGAAGAAGCGTTTTCTGCTATTTCTTTGAGTACAAATGGATTGTTGTGGGAGTAAAATAACTGGTTTTGGTTATACTGAAGAAGAAACAACTATAATATGAACATATCAATTTAACTTTGCAAGCTCTTAATTGTTTTGTCTCTTTTATTCGACATTCGTATTCATAAATGCCCTTTCTATAGTGAATAACACACTGTGCCACTATAGTCTTTTGGAGACATAGCTCATTGTATATAATGGGGTACACAATATTTAAAATTTAGCACAATTAATGGGAAATTCACTTAATAAAGTAGAAATCTCAATGCATTTTGAATAAACTAATTTTTACATTAAGTTCATTATCATCGAAGCTCCAATTTCATCAAATTTATAATTAGACTAAACGACTAAACAAAATGAACCTAACAACACTAAAAACAGTTCAATCTAAGGGCCCGTTTGAGGCAGCTTATAAGTGCGGCGACGTTTTTTAAAACGTCGTCTTAGTGTTTGTTTCACGTGATTTAGGTGTGTTTCTACAAATGGCGTTCTCTTAATTCTACTATACGCGGATCACGGGTATTCCCCGTCGATCCGCGTTTACTCTACTGTTTATTCCATTGCCCTCGCGCGTAGCCCTACCTTTCCTCTTTTGCGTCGATCGCTCTGCAGGTAAGATCTCCTTTCCTCCCTCCGCTCCTCCATCCTCTCCCCCATTTGGTCGAAAGCTTTCATCGTTTTCGATGATCTATCTTTTGAGTTTTGCGTTGAATCCGAAAGTGTTGATAAGAGCTAAAAATCTAGATCCACTTGTTGAGAATGATGAAAGCTGCTAAAAATATAGATTCGATGTTTTAACGAGATATTTGATGCATCGATAATGATTCATTTGTTGTTCATATCCTACTGTTGTTTTTCGGTTTAAGGTGGTGCTAACTGGAAAAATTTTGTTTTGTTGATCTTCCTCTGATGTGTTCGTGCCTGACCTAGAGCTAGTCCCTGTTTTTTGTTGGTTTTACTGTACTTGAAAGATGGGAAATTGAGGTCACTTTAAGAACCTGCTTTGATGTATTATGATGCTTTCTGGTCTTTTCTTTTTTGTTGGCTGATGTTTTCGTAACTGGAAATTGGGGTCACTTGCTATCTCAACTTGACACGGTTGCTCAGAGTTCTTCAGTATCAAAATTTAAGAACACCGCTTCTGATTCGAGTGCTTCCATTTTTACGGTATCCCAGTCGGACAAGTTCGCTCAGAGTTTTGGAGTTTCAGAGCCGGGCAGAATGGACTGTGATATGCTGCTACATTTTAAAGTTAATAACAACAAACAACAACAACAAAGCCTAAATCCCACTATGTGGGGTCGGCTACATGAATCCGTTTTTTCCATTTCTTCCTATTTAGTGTCATGTTCTCATTTAACTCTAGTAAATTAAGATCATTTTTATACAATAAGCCCAAGTCTTTCTAGGTCTACCTTTGCCTTTCTTAATACAAGTCGAATCTAAAACATCTACTATCGTAATCGGATCATCAGATGGTCAACGTTTAATGTGACGATGACCAACCCATCTAAGGCGCCTTTCTCTAATTTTGTCTGTCACAGGAGCAACACCAACTCTATCAATGATATATTCATTTCGCATTTTGTCCCTGAGTGTAAAGCAACTCATCCACCTAATCATTCTCATCTCGACAACACTCAACTTATTATTATGCTTCTTTTTTAAAGGTCAACATTCAGCGCCATAGAGCATTGTGGGTCTCACCTTCGTCTTATAAAATTTTCCTATCAGTCTAAGCGGTACTTTTCTATCACACAAATGGCCCAAAGCATTCCACCACTACAACCAACCAACTTGAATTCTACTATTAACATCCCCATCTATATCACCATCGCTTTGAACAACGAACCCAAGATAACAACGAGCTTTGAACAACGAACCCAAGATATCTAAATCGTTCACACTTTTTAATAATTTGATCACCCAAAGTCACACTTTTGTCACTATAGCTACTACTACCAAAATTACATTTCATGTATTCAGTTTTATTTCTACTTAAAGGAAGGTCTTTAGACTCCAAAGTTGACCTCCATAATTCAGGTTTTTCCTGAGCTTTTTCTCTCGTTTTTTCCTCGAGAAGGATATCATCAGCAAAAAACATACACCAAGGTACATCCTCCTGTGGATGTCCAGTAAGACCATCCATAACTAAAGCAAAAAGATATGGGTTTAAAGCAGATCCCTGATGTAATCCAATTAAAAATATATATATATTTTGTCAATCCTCCTTTTGTTCAAACACAAGTAATAGCTCTAGTATACATATATTTAATGACTTGAATATAAGTCACATCAACACCTTTCTTTTCTAGCACTCTCCAAATAATTTCTCTTGGAACATTATCATAATCTTTTTTTGAATCAATAAAAATCATATGTGCATCCAGCTTCCATAATAGATTTGGTTGGCATAAATCCAAACTTATTATGATAAATCTTTGTATCATGTATTAACCTATGTTCAATTACTCTATCTCATAATTTTAACGTATGACACACTAACTTAACTACTATATAAGTTCCACAGTCTAATGCATCCCTTTTATTATTAAAAATGGAGACTAAATTACTCTTCCTCCACTCCTCGAACATCTTTTTAGTTTTTAAAATAATATTAAAAAGTTTAGTAAACCAATAAACTACTAAATCTCATAAATATTTCCACATTTATTAAAAAGTTTATCAAAATAACTCACTCACCCTACTTCAATTGGGATATCATCAGGTCATATAGACTTTTCACCATTGGTTTTCTTTAAAGCCAATCACTAAGTTCGATCGTATTTTCAGAAACTTCATTAAAAAGTTTATCAAAGTAACTCACCCACCTATGTTGAATATCTTTTTCTAAGAAAAGTACTTTTTGATTTTCATCTTTAATACACTTTACTTGAGTTAAATCTTTACTTTTCTTTTCTCTTAATTTGGCTAGTTTATACATATATTTTTCACCCTCCTTAGTATCTAGTCTATTATAAAAATCATTAAAAGACAAATTTTTAGCGTCACAGATTGTTCTTTTAGACTCCCTGCGGGCGTTTGATATTTTTCTCAATACTCTAAGCTTTTACATTTAAACAAATTTTTATAATTTAAACCAATTTTTATAACATAACTTCTTATATTTTATCTTTTCTTGCACATTATCATTCCTCCACCAACTATTTTTATTTATAAAAATTTTTACTTTTGAATCTCCAAACACATCTTTTGCTCTTTGTTTAATATTATTTGTTATTTTATCCCACATAACATTTCCATCTTCACGAACATCCCAAATTTTGAAATCTTGAATTTTTCTCATAAAAATAGTTTTATTTGTGTATTTTAGCTTCTCCATCTAATTCTACGATGATGAGTCATAGTATTTTTTATTTTACATCTCTTTATCTTAAAATCTAGAGCTATTAAACGATGTTGAGTACTTAAATTCTCACTTGGAATGACCTTATAATCTTTACAATCTCGACGATCTCTTCTTCTCATAAGAAAATAATCAATTTGTGTTTTATTAGATCCACTCTTATAAGTAATAAAATGCTCATCTCTTTTCTTGAATAGAGTATTAGTAATAACAAAATCATACGCTAAAGCAAAATCTAAAATAACTCTATCTTCTTCATTAGTTACTCCAAAACCGTAGCTTACATGAGTATTTCTGAATTCTTCTATCACTCTACCGACATGTCAATTTAAATCTTCTTCAATAAAAATTTTTTCTTCAAAAAGAATTATTTGTATTAAATTTTCTAAGTCATTCCAAAATTTATCTTTAGACCATGTATCTAAACCTACTTGAGGAGCATAAACACTTATAATATTAAAAATCTTAGTATCAATGATAATCTTAAGGGCTATAATTCTATCTCCAACTCTATTAATTTTTACAACATTATCTTTCAAACTCTTATCTATAATTACACATACACTATTTCTAGTGCGACTCTTACCAGAATATCAAAGTTTAAAACCAAGTCAACATTATAATTTTTTTCTTTGTAATTTTGACATATTATTTTTTTCTTATTTTTTGGGTCTCATTACATTACATATTAGTGTGTGGAGGTGTATTTCACTTTTGTTTAGATAATTGTGCTTCTTTGATGTGATCTGAAATATTTTAATGATATAAATATTTTATATTTTCACGTCTTAACATTTGAATTTTAATTTTTAAAATATTTTATATTTTCATGTTCTTCAATCTTCATATTTATCTCCCTTTTATGATTGTATTAAGAAGGTTGATAGATTTGTAAAAAAATTTACAAATAAGCTGTTTACAAAACAC